CCACCCCTGCATTCTCAAACCACAGCCCCGTGTCTGCTTGCCCTTGGGCAACCTTTGCCTAAGGCTTCTGCTCCATTGCAGACACTTCTCATCATGTGAGGGCTGCAGGGAGCAGATCTCTCCCACGCCTTGGAGAACAGCAGAGCTGGAAGGGCCATGGAGACTGCAAAGCTCACTCTTGTGCACCAGCACAGCCCACAGGGTTTAGTGACCTGTGCAAGGCTCACACGGCAGGCTCTGTGGTCATCTGGGCTCTATGCCCAGGCTTGGAGTCATTGGTGCCTTTATTTGTGCTGGAACTGAGGGGCACCTGGGGCACTGGCAGGCACCATGGACCTGGAGAAGAGCTTGCACTTGGGCCCATAGGCAGGATAGCAGGGGTGGGTGGAGCATCTCCACTGCTTCTTCACTCTGCCCTGCTCTTTTCCACAGGCTTTGGTTCTCCTTCCTGCTTCTGGAAACCTTCGTCTCTGCCCAGTGCCCTGATCTGGCCTCCACGTGCGTGCACCATCCCTGTGGGCTGACCAGTGTGTGACTGCGTTCTCTGGGAAGGAGCTTCCCTCACCAAGCCTCTCCCCTCCATTCCTTTAGCTCCATCCTGCAAAACTAGGGGACCTTTCTGCTTCAAAAGAGGAACACAAGTATTGTGGACACACTTGACCCTAAAGACACAGTAGCCTCAGAACACGGGAGTGCAATAAAGGGAATGCCGGGCCCCATCCCGAGCCATCCCAAAGAAGCTGGAGAGTGAGGAGTGGCCCCCTCCCCTCCATAAGGAACTGACAAGGGTTGGGCAGAACAGGGGAGCATTTCCACGCAGGCATGGAGCCCTAGGGCTCCACTCTGTGGCACAGGTGGTCAGCCAATGGGATGCTTCCTGTTCCTCAGCATCTCCTGCTGCTCGCTTCCTATTGCCCCAGAGGTCACGCAGTCCATTAGATCATGGAAAGTTCCATTCAACTAACCTGCTGCTAGGAGCTGGGCTAAGGACAGGGGCTGCCAGGGCTTCCAGGGTCTTCTTACCACCCTCCCACATCCCCCTGTGAGCTCTGAGGCTTAGCCAGATGCAGTCAGGAGACGCTGAGTTTCATGTTGGGCTTTAAGGCCTCTGTGGGTCTCCTAAGGCCTGGCCTTGGAGGCAGGGCAGTCATGTGCCTTGTGGGCCATCAGCCTCTGAGGGCAGAGAGGCTGTGTCAGTGCCATGAATTGTGCTCACAGTGTGCGTGCATCACACGCTTCTAGCATCCCCTCTACTCTGCCTCCCTCAAAAGCCACTTGCCACCTGCTGTGCCCTTCAAAGCAGCTGGGGGGGTCAGAATCCCACCCAGTACAGCTACAGTGTCACAAGAGCCGTGGTCGAGGGTCCTAGCAGCACTACACTGCACCAGTGTAAGGAGGAGGGAAAGGGAGGAACAACCTGGGCAGACAAAGCTTCAGGAACCTGAGACCTTCCCTCCCCAGAGTTTCCTAGCTGAGGACTCTCAGACTGCTGGGGCCAACCCAAGGACCCCTCCTGGCCTCACAGCAATGGAAAGGGACCCTCAAAATGAAGGCAAGCCCCAGGCAGGAAAATTTTCCCCTTCCTGACCGCTGGCCAGCAGGAGGCCATATCGTGCCAATGGATCCAAACCTGCTGATGTGGGCTGTCTGTGGAGGCCCCAGCTCAGTGTCCTCTCCATTCTGAATCAACAGTGATCATGTGATTTTTATTTCTGCCCCACGGGGTAAGGGAAGAGTCTTCTGGACAGTTCTGCCTTGGACGTTCATAACTGAGCTCAGAGGCCTTGCCCTGTCATCTCCTCCCACCACCCCCTACCCCGCCCTCAAGCACTGCATTGTCCAGCTGCTTTTGAATGGATTGTAGTGTTTTGTCTCATTACAAACAAATAGATAGACTTTAATTGGTCACATCCTGTCTCTAGCTCCCAGCTGGCTGCACTTGGGTCTATGGATTCAGCCCCCATTGCTGGGGCCTTGGCTGAGAGTGGTGGATGGCTTCCACCTGATTGAGCTAGTGGTTTTGTATAATTAACCCTTCCAAAGAATGCATATGTCGGGAGGAGCTTCTGGAGAATTGAAAGGCACGACTAGATTCTTTCTCTTAAATATCACAGGGTCCTCAGCAACTGCCTTTGTCTGACTTTTCCCTGGCTCTAGGCCTTGAGCCAGGACCTCGTCCAGGTGGGCAGCTTTCATCCACTCAGAAGCCCTGTCCTGGCATAGAGAAGGCTCTGAGGATGATCTGGCCTCGTGGTCAGGTGGGGACCCTGGGCCTGCATATGCTACCATGGGAGCCTGACATGGGTGCCTGCTAAGCATAAGATCAGGTGCTTTCACAGCTTCTCATTGAGACTTCTGGCCACCCTCAGGGGACTTAGCTGTCTCCTTATTAGATGAGACCTGACACAGGGCCAGGGAGTTACCCAGGAGCAACACAGTTTGTGAATGGTGGGCCCAAGTGACCAGCCTAGGTCTGGGTCCCTCTGCAGACTACATGTGCTGCTGTTCTCACTGTTCACGTGCCTCCAACATCAGTGGGCAGCTGGGAGACATACTGCTTCCTGAGGGCCCTTCCTGGGAGAGAGTCTGAGGCACCTGCAAAGTGTATGGGGGCTATTGCCTCTGGGAGGTCAGGCAGGTGGACACAGCAGATGCCATGTCTGAGGCCACGGCACATGGAACTAAATCAGCCGGCCGAGCTTTGTTCACAGGCACATCTGTTGGGGAGGCACCGCCTCAGTTATTCTGGCAAGGACAGTTACCTTTGCTGATGGGTTCAACTTTAGGATTAAGGGAGTGACCCCGGGGGCCCATGGTCAATTAATTATATGACCAAGTATCAACTTGCCCAGATAGGGTTCTGGCTGAACCCTGCCCTGGAGGTAGCCGTGGCCCACCCAGGCTGGCCTCCCTGGCTCCTCAGCCTCCTTCTTTCAGGAAAGTTGGGCAGGGTTGGCCACTGCTCCAGGCCTGTCGCCAAAGCCCCACCGAGACTGAGATCTGGGCCTGCAAACACTCCCAGCCCCACTCTGGGGCAGAAAGGAAGAATGGGCCATGGTTATGTGACTCCCAGGGAGAAGCAGGACGTTCGTTCACACAGGCCACACTAGGATGGAAGACAGAGACCAGCTCTGCTCCAGGCCGGCTCTGGGATGAGGCCGAGGGAGTTTAACAAGAGTCCACAGACACCTGTGCATCTCCCTGCGGCAGGGTCTGGTCTCGGTCCCTGCACACACCACCCAAGGATTTGCTGGGTCCATGGGGCCAGGAGAATTCAGCAGTCCAACGGGGCCTTTGTACTTCCAGATCTCCATCTCCCCAAGGACTGAGATAGATCTGCTACTTTGTTCCCAATCCAGTGGCATTCGGGGACTCACAGGGCAACCCCAGAATCATCAGTGCACATAGTCATGAGTGTCCACTTGCTCGGGCCGTGGGCTGCTCCTTGTCGACTCCCACCCCCAGCATGCTATGACTGGTTATTCTGCTTCTCAGCTCGTTTGGAGTGCTTCTCAAAAAAGCTTTGGAAGGTTTCAGGGAGGATCTGCCAGGAGGCCAATTCATTTTTTTGTTTTTTTCTGAGTTGGGGTCTCTTTTGCCCAGGCTGGAGTGCAGTAGCACAATCACAGCTCACCACAGCCTCAACCTGGGTGCAAGCAGTCCTTCCACCTCAGCTTCCCAAGTAGCTGGGACTACAGGCATGTGCCACCACACCCAGCTAGGGTTTTGGTGTTTTGTAGAGACAAGGTGTCACTATGTTGCCCAGTCCAGTCTCGAACTCCTGGACTCAAGCAATCCTCGTGCCTCAGCCTTCCAAACTGCTGGGATTACAGGCATGACCACTGCACCCAGCCTAGAGGCCAATATAGAGTCAGTTTTCTTTGGGCCTATATTCTTTTTTTTTTTTTTTGAGTTGGAGTCTCACTCTGTCACCCAGACTGGAGTGCAGTGGCCGCTCCCGGCCACCACAGCCTCGACCTGCTGGGCTCCGGCGATCCTTCTGCCTCAGCCTTCCAAGTAGCTGGAACTACAGGTGCACACTACCACGCCCGGCTAATTTTTTGATTTATTGTAGCGATGAGGTTTCGCCAAGTTGCCCAGGCGGATCTCGAACCCACGGGCTCAGGCAATCCACTCACCTCAGCCTCCCAAGGCGCGGGATTATACACTGAGCCACCGAGCCCTGCTTGGGCCTATATTCTTTTCTGTTGCTGCAGCAGATGTCTTTCCTAGGGGTAAGACCCTGGGCTATGGCCGGCTATTGCTGGGTGACAGACAACCTTAAAACTTCACGGCCTAAGAAGTGGCCATTCAATTTGCTCACAGTTCTGCAGTTGGAACAGGAGTCAGCAGAGAGCTCATCTGCTCTGTGTGGCATCAGCTGGACTGGCCAGCAGGGCTGGAGGATCTATGTCCCAGATGGCCCCACTCACAGGGTTGCTGGCAGTGAACTTGGCCATGACCATGGCCTTGACCTTGGCCTCATTCCCTTGTGGTGGCCTTCCTTGGGCTAGGTTAATTTCCCATTACAGTTATCAGGATTGTTGACTCCTTAGGGGACCACCAACCAAACCCCAAGCTGCCAAACCTCCTTACTGCCCAGGAGCAACACCCTGTCGCTTCCACCACATTCTACTGGTAAAGCAAGATCTAGAGCCAGTCCTGATTCAAGTGAGGGGACTACACAAGGACAAGAATACCAGGACACCAGGCTCACTTGGGTAACTGAAGTAGCTACTGACCACAGCCTGAGCATTCCAAGATCTGGACCCTGGGTAGCCTGTGCTCTGCGCTTCTGCTCTTCATTCAAAAGTGTGGATAGGGTCCAGGTACAGTGGCTCAGATCTGTAATCCCAGCACTTTGGGAGACTGAGGCAAGAGGATTGCTTGAGCCCTGGAGTTCGAAACCAGTCTGGGCAACATAACAAGACTTCAATCTCTTATAAAAACTTCAAACAAAAAAGCCAGGCATGGTGATGTGCACGTGTCATCCCAGCTACTTGGAAGCTGAAGAGAGTGGATCCCTTTAGCCCAGGAGTTTAAGGCTACAGTGACCCATGATCATGCCACTGCATTCCAACCTGGGTGGCAGAGTAAGACCTCAACTCAAAACAGAAAAAAATTTAAAAGTGTGTGGATCAGGCCCCTAAAAGTCCCTGCAAGGATCTTGCACTGCCAGCTTCTGGATGGTCTCACTTGCGCCCAGTGTGCTCAGTTGGTAGCCAAGGCAGATGTCCCTCTGTGTTCCCTCGGCAGCCTCCCCAACACCTGTCTTGGTCCCTCGGGCCTACCTGGAGTGAGTGTTGTGAGAGAGAAGGCAGCTGCCCTGTCACCGCACGTGACACCCCACACCCGCCCTGTCATAGTCGTTCTTAAGTGGCGCATCCAAACACTTGGCTCTGTCACGGCTCCCCCTCCTGGCGGTACTGACTACTGCTACAACTCAGGCATCCACCACTCAGGGCCACACCCACATACTTGGAACAACCCAAGGATTGGAGTCTCCAGGATCTGCTGTCCCAGGGGCCTAGGAGATGTCCAGGGTGGAACCAGGGCACACGGGAGGAAAGGGCAGAGAACAGAGCCAGCTGTCCCAGGCACCATCACATGTGGCTTGACGGAAGCCTGAGGTGGGGGCGGCCCTCAGCCCTAGCCTGAACTGGGCTGCCCGACTGGACATCCACAGACAGGCAAGGGTCACCCAGGTGCCCCTGTCTTCTCCCCCAGAGAACTGAGACCCGGTGGTATAGAGCAGGGTTCTCACCCAGAGTCATTATGTCCGCCTCCCTGAGACAATGTCTGGAGATCCTTTTTTAGAATTTTGTTATAAAGATGTGGGGTACACATCAGGGTTAGGTGCATTCATACCCATTAGGTACTTCCCTTGGTTTAGGATCAGGTATGCTTTATGTTATTACTTGCCCACCCTCCTCCCTCTTTGATTGTCACAGCTGAGAAAAGAGTGCTACTGGCATCTAGTGGGTAGTGGGCAGGGATGCTGCTAAACATTCTCCAATGCATAGGACAGCCCCACCACAAAAATGATCTGGTCCCGAACTCTGACAGAGCCGAGTGGAGACACCCCGGTACAGAGGAAGCTCATGCCTGGGTGCCTGGAGTCTAGTCCTGCCGGGAGGAAAAGGACTGTGCTCATCCTCCATGGTGGGAGCAAAGAGCTGGGTCCCACAGAGCAGTGGCCTCCCCAAGTCCTTGACAAGGAGTGGGGCGAGGTCTGCCTGGGCTGCTGTCTTCCCTGGCACCCTCCCTGACCCAGGCCTACCTTCCTTCATCCTCTTCACCCCCATGTCCTGAACGCCATGCCCTGCATTTAGACCTGCTGAGGCCCTGACCACCCTGTAGAACCAAGCTCAGCAGGGCCTTGTCCAGGAAGCCCTCCCAGACTCCCTCCTTGGTGCTCCACAGCCCCTCACCCTGGCTCATGCCTCTCATGCCTCCAGCTAAGAGTGAGAGCACTCCAGACCCATCCCTGGGAGTGATACAGGGCTGCTCACTCTGGGATAGAAAGGAAGTGCAGGCCCTGGGTATGTGACTCCCAGAGAGAAATAGGACACTCACACAGGCTGCACTGGGATGGGGGACAGAGGCAAGCTCTGCTCCAGGCCAGCTCTGGCGTGAGGCCGGAGGAGTTTAACTAGAGCCCACAGACACCTGCCTGAAGACAGACAAACACGCAGGCCTTGACTTTTTATTGAGATTAGACGTGAGTGCTCCCAGGCCTCTCAGGAGCCCAATTCTCTGCTCAGCCTGGCCTCGCAGGTACAAGTTGAGTTTAAACAGGCTGCAAGGGCACAGCCATGCTTCTCTTACTTCTGTCCCTCCCTCAGGACCTCTTCCTTCCCCCTCACATTTTCCCAAGGCTTGCCCAGGCTTGGGTGCTGGGCAGCTAGCTGTCTGGGCCATCTCCGTGTGGGAGAGCCACTGCTGGGGGCTGAGCCCTTCCTGTTTGGACCTGCCTCCTTGGCCATCTGTCCCCCTCTGTCCCCAGTCATGGCTCTCAAGATCTATATGGCTTCTCCAGGGCCCCAGAGCGTGTCCTCTTGCACAAGGAACACATAGCCTCCTCTGAGGCCCCCCAGGACCTCTTGGGCCGGAGCCCCAAGCCCTCAGGGGGACCAGGCTGGGAGAGGGCACCCTTGGTTGGGTCCATGCTGGAACTGGAAGCTGAGGAAGAAGAAAGGAGTCACTCAGAGGGACCCGAGGGGAGGTGAGAGGGAAGGCTGGCATCCCACCCTGGGGTCTCCTGAGACAGACATCCTTCAAAACAGAAAGGAAGAGGACAGTGCTTCTTCCCTAAGAGAACCCTCAGGGGACTGAGTGGTTCAAGCTGGAAGGACCCTCATCTAACCTGAACCCCTCATTTGATAAATGAAAAAATTGAAGCCTAGCAAGGGAGAGATTTGTCCAAGGTCCCTCATCAAGGCAGAACTGGGACAGTCGCCCAGAACTCTGTCCCAGAGCCTCCCTCTGCTTTACAGGCCTTTGTCCCTGACGGACTCTCCAGTCTCCACCCAGCCATGGGATGGCACAGGGAGGGGGACAGATTCATTAAGATTGTGGCCTCCTGGGGCATGACACCACTGTGGGGGTATCCTGGACAATAGCGTGGGCGGAGAAGGGTTCATCCAAGTCCCCAGCCCAGCCCCACCCTGGGGACTTCCCCTCTGTGCTCAGTCCTGTCTTGACAGAGCTCACCTGCATTTCCCAGGCCTTTCCTGGGCAGTTGGGCTTCCAGAAGGGCTGAGCCGTGGCTGTTACCTGGGACCAGAGTCCGCTGTGGCAGGCCCGTGCCCTCAGGCCGTGGCAGGCAGCCTCCAGCCATGAGCCGGTCCAGCCAGTGGCTCTCACACTGACCAGCAGGCTGCATGTGGCCCTGCAGGTAGAGAGTCAGACCTCGGAGGTGGCGCAGCCGGAAGTTTGTGGGCTTGCTTCCCCGGGTGCTGGGGCACTGCTGCTGCTGGGCCCCCAGGCCCCCCTCGTAGATGTTGGGCGGTGTGTCAGGGTGGCCAGGGTGGCCTTGGGCCCAGCTCACTGCATCTGCAGAGGGGAGAGTGGGAGGGTGGTGGCCAGCTGGCTGCGGCATCCGTGAGGGGAGGATGTAGTCTCTTAGACCAGCTCACATGATGGACTCCACCCCCAGTCTGCCCAGCCTTGGCTTTCCTTTCTGTCAAATGGGCTCAGTTCCCTGCTACCACCCTGCCTATGCCTGACAATTACTCCTGTTCCCCTCCTGACCAACAGGGAGGTCTGTGAAGCACAAGACCTTGGTACCGAGAGCCCTTTCCGCCACCCCCATTGTGTCTTCTACCCCAGAAAGAGTATTCTAGACCCAGTAGAGAAATTGCACAGTGAATTCAAGAGGTAGTGCCTAGCCCAGGGTCACATGGTCTGGACCAGAGGCCATTCCCCTCTCCCATACATGTCCCTGAGGCGACCCAAGTGGCTTTGTACTCAGATAGGCACAGGAGGTTATCTCTCCTCCTGCCACTTCTCCCTTCAGCCCAGCACCTTCTCGTATGCGCAGCTCAGAGAATGCACAGACCAAGGCTTCCATGGAGGGCCAGCGTGGTAGGGGAGGAGCGGCCAGGCCTTGTGTGCAGCAGGGTCCTGCTCTCCCCTACTTAGGGGGTGGGTCTGCATGTCTCCCATGACAACTGGTTCTTATGATGTCACAGGGAAGATTCCCAGCCTTTCTGGCCACCCTAGTTAGAGGGAGGACAGTGCCCAGGGGAGGGACAGGATGGGAGGAGGGCACAGGAAGGGGCCAAAATGCTAGGGGAGGTCCCTGGTACCTCTGGCTGGGATCAGGTCACACAAAATAGACTCATCACTGGCAGGCTAGAGAGTTACTCTGTGGGGTGATTTCTTGGGAGCAGCTTCCTCATCTGTGGGTAGGAACTGAGCTATAGGCCTGGTAAGATTGAAACTGTGCCCCAAAGAGTTAAAGAAACCAATGACTAACAGAAATTCTTGAGTTTTCAGGATGGCAGATAAGAAAATAAACAACTTGCTAAAACAGAAACAAAAGAACTGCTTACGAGACAAAAGAACTGCCTGAAAGAGGTTCGAACCAAGATGGCTGACTATCTTGGTGACATCACAGCCTGAATTTCCACCACGTTTCATACTAACTCCCCTTGAATTTGCAACCCATGAGATAGGACAAAGAGATAACTGCACATGGCCAAGGGCTTTCTCTACCTCCTTTTTACTTCCGTCAATCACCTACTGATCTCAGAAACTACTTCCTGAACCTTTTCTAATAAAAATACTGCCTTCAAGTCAGCATGGGAAGACAGATTTGAGCCTGACTCCTGTCTTCTTGGGAGTCAACTTTCAATATAAAGCTTTTCGTTCATCAAAAAAAAAAAACCTGGTGTCATAGTACCGGCTTCTGCACCTCAGGAAATTAGCCTCTTTGGGTTGATAACAAAACCAGGGTCATTGCTTTGAACATGCCGAAAAGGTTGTTCTGGGAGATTGGGCAAGTCACTTAACTTTTCTGTTCATTTTCCTGTGAGTCAGTTACCACATATTGTGTGGATAATACCAGCTGTTTGTAAGGATGTGGAGGATCTCGAACTACCATTCACTCTGCTGGAGGTGTAAAATGGTACAACCACTTTGGAAAACAGTTTGGCGGTTTCTTAAAAAGTTAAACATTTAATTTTATTTAATCACAGTTAACATGATCTTGTACATAGAAAAAAACTATACTCAGGCCAGGAGCAGTGGCTCATGCCTATAGTTCCAGCACTTTGGGAGATGGAGGTGGGAGGATTGCTTGAGCACAGGCGTCAAGGCCAGCCTGGGCAACATAGTGAAACCTCCATCTCTACAAAACAGTGTTAAAAAATTAGCCAGGCATGGTGATGCATGCTTGTGTTTCTAGATACTCTGGAGGCTGAGGCAGAAGGATTGCTTGAGCCCAGGAGTTTGAGGCTATGGTAAGTTGTGATCATGCCACTGTACTCCAGTCTGGGTGACAGAGTAAGATGCCAACTCAAAAAAAAAAAAAAAATCCACACTCAAAAAAGAAATTAGTGGAGCTAATAAACCTAGTAGAGCTCTTTCAGAGCTAATAAAGTTCAGAAAAGTCTCAGGATATAAAATCAATAGCCAGGAGTGGTGGCTCAGCCAGTAATCCCAGCACTTTGGGAGGCCGAGGCAAAAGGATTGTCTGAGCCCAGGGGTTTGAGACTAGCCTGGGCAACTTGGTGAGACCTCGTCTCTACAATAAATCACAAAAACTAGCCTGGCGTAGTGGTGTGTGTCTTTAGTTCCAGCTACTTGGAAGGCTGAGGCAGAAGGATCACCTGAAGCCCAGCAAGTTGAGGCTGTGGTGGCTGTGGGTGTGCCACTGCACTTCAGCCTGGGTGACGAGTGAGACTCCAACTCAAAAAAAAATTTTTTTTAAAGCCAACACACAAAAACTGGTTGTAGTTCTACATATTAGCAAAAGTCAATAATGATAAAACAGGGATAAATTTAACCAAGGACATGCAAGACTTAACTTTGAATACCACAAAACATTGCTGAAAGAATCTAAAGACTTAAATAAATTAAAGCCCATGTTCATGGACTGAAAACTTAATATTCTGAAGATAGCAATACTCCCCAAAGTGCCCAATGTAATTCTTAACAAAATTGAAATGACCTTTAGGCAGTGTATTACTCAAGGTTCTTCAGAAAAACAATCAGTAGGATAGATAAATAGATAGACAAATTTATACAGAGAAGATTTATTAGAGAAATTGACTCACGTGATTATGGGGGCCACGAAGTCTCACAATATGCGGTCTGCAAGCTGGAGAACCAATGATGTAATTCAATCTGAGTCCCAAGGCCTGATAACTGGGGTGGTAATGATGGGGATAAGGGCTGGCATAAGTCCCTGAGTCCAGAGACTCAAGAACCAGGAGTTCCAATGTCCAAGGGCAGGAGAAGAAGGATGTTCCAGTATAAGAAGAGTGAATGTACCCTTGCTCTGCCTTTTTGTTATACTTGGGACTCCAATGGAGTGGATGGTGCCCACCTTCTTTGGTGAGGGCAGTCTTCTTTCCCCAGTCTACCAATTCAAGTGCTAATTTCTTCTGGAAACACTCACTGGTACACCCAGAAATATAATTTTACCAGCTATCAGGCATCCCAGTCCAGTGGACACATAAATTAATTATCACAAGGAGAAATGGAAAAGCTAAACCTAAAATTCTTGTGAAATTACAAAGGAGCCAAAATAACCACAACAATCTTGAACAAGGGAAACAAAGTTTGTGGACTCACATTTTCTGATTTCAAAACTTACTACAAGATACAGTAGTCAAAACAGTGTGAAACTTGCATAAGGATAAACATCTAGACCTATGAAATAGAATAGAAAGCCCAGAAATAAACCGATTTGTCCATATTCAATTGATTTTGACAAAGCCATCAAGACCATTCAATGTAGGAAAGAATAATCCCTACAGCAAATGGTGCTGGGACAACCAGATAGCCACAAGCATAATAATAAAGTTGGGCCCCCTACCTCACACCATATACAAAATTAGCTCAAAATAGATTAAAGACCTACATGTAAGATCTAAAACTATAAAACAGAAGAAAAACATAGGGATTTGGCAATGAATTTATGAGAAAAATGCAGATGAAGAAATAAATTGGACCTCTTTAAAAGTAAAAACTTTTGTCCTGCAAAACACACAATCACGAAGTGAAAAGACAAACTATGAAATGGGAGAAGATATATGCAAACCATATATCTGGTAAGGGTTTCACATGCAGAATACATAAAGAACTTCTACAACTCAACAACAAAAAAGACATACAATTCAATTTTTATTTATTTTTTTTTTTTTTGAGTTGGAGTCTCACTCTGTCGCCCAGACTGGAGTGCAGTGGCCGCTCCCGACCACCACAACCTCGACCTGCTGGGCTCCGGCGATCCTTCCGCCTCAGCCTTCCGAGTAGCCGGAATTACAGGCATGCGCTACCATGCCTGGCTGATTTTTTTGATTTATTGTAGAGATGAGGTCTCACTGCCCAGGCGGGTCTCGAACCCGCGGGCTCAGGCAATCCACTCGCCTCAGCCTCCCAAAGGCACGGGATTACAGGGTGAGCCACCGAGCCTGGCACAATTCAATTTTTAAATGGGCAAAAAATTTTAATAGACATTTCTCCACAGAAAATATACAAATGGTCAACAAGCACATCAAAAGATGTTCAACATCACTAGGGAAGACATTAGGGAAATGCAAATCAAAATCAAAATAAGACACAACTTTATATCATGAAGATGGCTATACTGAAAAAAAACAACAAATGATGTGTTCATCAGGATATGGAGAAACTAGAACTCTGATACACTGCTGGTAGGAATATAAAATGGTGCAGTTTCTATGGTAGAGTTTGGCACTTAGTTCCTCAATAAGTTAAACGAAGAATTACCATATGACCCAGAAATTCCACTTTTAGGTAGATATATAAAAAAAACTGAAAAGAGTTATTAAAACAAACACTTGTACACAAATGTTCATGGCAGCACCATTCACCATAGCCAAAAGTTGGAAATAATCCAAATGTCCATCAACTGATGAATGGACAGACAAATTGCGATGTGTTCATACAATAAACATTCAGCTAGAAAGGAATAAAGTACCAGTATATACGACAGCATGAACGAACCTCAAGAACATTATGCTAAGTGAAAGAATCAAGACATGAAAGGTCACATATTGTATCATTTCATTTGTATGAAACACCCATGAAGACAGAAAGTAGAGTGGTGGTTACTGGGTTCAGAGGAAGGAGGAATGGGAAGTGACTGCTTACTTGGTATGAGGTCTTCTTCTGGGGTGATTAAAGTGTTTTGAAACTAGATAGAGGTAATGGTTGCACAACACTGTGAATATATTTAATGCCACTGAATTGTGCCTTCGAATTTTATGTTACACATATTTTACCACAAAAAAAGTAGGCCAGGCTTGGTGGTTCAGTCTGTAATCCCAGCACTTTGGGAGGCCGAGGCAAATGAATTGCCTGAGGCTGCAGGTTTGAGACCAGCCTGGGCAACTTGGCGAGACTTCGTATCTACAATAAATAAAAAATTAGCTGGGTGTGGTAGTGTGCAACTGTAGTTCTGGCTACTTGGAAGGCTGAGGTGGAAAGATTGCCAGAGCCCAGGTCAATGCTGGGGTAGCTGTGAGTGAGCTATGGCACTCCAGCCTGGGTGACAGAGTGAGACTCTAACTCAAAAAAAAAAAGTGACTGAGCACTACATCTTAAAACTATCGAGGTCATCAGAAACAAGGAAAGTCTGAGAAATTGTCACAGTCCAGAGGAAATGGAGGCGACATGACACCTAAGTGTAATGCAGTGTCCTGAATAGAATCCTGGAACAGAAAAAGGACATGAGGTTAAAAGTAAGAACATCAGAATATAGTATGGACTCTGATTAATAATAATAATGTATCAATATTGGTCCATTAATTGTAACAAATATATTAATATGTTAACAATGGGGGATAGATGGAGAACTCTGTACTATCTTTGCAACTG